CCCATGCACGGTGTACCCGCAAATCCTTATCATAAATAAAAAATCACAATTTCCCCCTTAGGGCAGTTGTCTGCTGATGGTGATGATTGCTAGTGTAAATTTACCTCTTCAACAACTCTTACTTTAGGTAGCAATTCAAAATTCCTATCGGTTGACTATAGGACAGGGCCATCCAACCAATGAAGAATAATAACAGTGACGTGTGTTAAGTGAATAAGGGGGGGGGTGTTGCTCCACTGAAACCACACACATCCTTGGGAGTAATGCAATGTAAAGGCATTTATCGGTTAGAATTGGCCACTTGAGAACACTTCACCTGATAGCCAACCGATCATAAATGTATCGGTGGGACCGTTCTGTCCGACACCTACCCGATAAGAATTTTGAAATGGTGCCTTAACTGGTGTTTGCTCTTTCCTGTATTGTTTTCGAGTACCATTTTGCCTTGGATAGTCCTACATGTTTTCTATTTAATACGCTTGCATTGCACGTTGTCACGGTGCAGTTTGTCGTTTCCTACGTTATTCTTGTACTTGTGAGCCCACTGAGGGCGCCTTTCCTTCCCAGCTTTCCAATTATAATATTTTGCTTTTCTCGATGCTCCCCTACACCATCTTTTTGTGCAATGCCCTTTATCTGCACTGTACACTCCTAAAATAATTTTCTGCTTTTAGCACAAGAAGGAAACAATTTTATACAGTACTCGGCGTCAAAAAACACGCGTGAAAATTGTTAGAAGTCCTTGAATCTGTCGAGTTTGTTTTCAAATTAATGATGTTAACTTTACTTTTGAAATTCACATCAACCTCACTGACTACCAGCATCCCCGTACTTCAACCGTCAGTAGTGTGTGAGATATTTCACTAGCCCACTTTATATGGTTTAAGCCGGAGTCTTTCATCCCTGGGAATTGTTCTTGCGCCATTTTACTGGTTAGTTTCTTCATATTTTAAGAAAAATAAATCTAACTTTCCTATATACCGTTTCAGAGCGCACGAATCGGTAATGATTTTACTTGTTTTTGTCTCATCAACATTAATGCTGACAAATTTCCTTTCGCTAGTCTTTGACCAACTTAACGGAGTAACGCGTACCGGTTCGATTTTAACGGGCATGTCTATAGAAAACTCCTACCCGGTGAGACACCACTACGCCTTAAATTAAATGAACCTGACTTTGGGCGTATTTTGCAAGTCACGCAACTGGTCGAAAAGGTATTTGGCACGTGCGTATATCCCCGCCACCCATTGCAAGCGTACAACCATGTCAAAGGTCAGTAAGGATTTTGTACAACTTTAAGAGTCCATATCTAATGTTTTGGTGATGTATTTTCCAGGTGATTCGATTCAATCCCATAGCGGCTCCAAGAGCAAGATGTCGGAGGGTTGGTTCACGCACGTAGACAAGTTCCTGGACAACCTCCGTCTCAGAAATGAACTCGTGCGCCAGTTCTTTGCCGAGCTCCTGGGAACTTTTATGCTGGTGGTGAGTTAGATGATGAAAGAAACAATGTCTAATGCTTGTTTTTAAGAGATCGTTTCTTAGCAAAGGTCCCCTAATTAAACGCAAAGATCCTGTTTCATAATATTGATGTCTGTGTGAAAAAATGTTGTTGAAGGCACTTAATTAAATGCAGATCCTGCTTCAACGATGCCGAAGAGTGTGTTGCTGGGATGCTATACAGTGGCTGCCGTCCATTTCTCAGATTTAACCCCACAACATAACAAAATGAAGTGTTAACCATTTGTTATGTCGTTGCAAGATTGGCATACCCACTAGTTTTAACCCGAATGGGCTCTTACATACAAACCATCATCATTTGAAGACATAAATGTAAGAAATGGTTGTTGACCCATGCCCGGACCAATGCTCTGTGGCCGTGACAAGCCCGCTTGACAACCAGGACAAACAGCTCTGACCCTTCCCAGAAGTCGACGCGCTGATTTCCTAGTGAAAGCGCTTTTACATTGACCAATTTGTGAATAGCGCCACCAGCTTTCGCTACTGGGAGAGAAACTGATTAACTGATAAACTGCTTCACCTTTGAATTAATTATTACTATGGTTCTTTTTGAAATTTAGTTGATCGGTGATGGAGCTATTGCGCAGATGCAGTTCTTTGGCGGAACAGCATTAGGGGCTGGCTTTCTGAATGTGAACATCGGGTATGCCTTCGGGTTGATGCTTGGGGTATATTTTACAGCTTCAGTATCAGGTAAATGAATTGTCCTCAGCATTTTCCCATTAGTTGCAGTGACATATCCAGAGGGGGGAGGGGAAACTTTCCCCCCCGACAGATTTTCGCGATGTTTTCTAAGAATACTGCACAGCTGAGTACTAAAGAAAGTATTGGGTATATTTATGAAATATTAGCACCCAAACCCAAAGAAAACAACACCAGCGAATAAAAGCAAGGAGGTCGGGACCGCGAGTAGGGCTGTCGATTTTTTTTTCTCCACAACATCATTTTCAATGAGCCCAAAACCGTATTGGCTTTTGAATTCCCCCCCCCCACACCAAATGCTGGATACGCCGATGGTCAGTTGGAAGAGGAACTGGGATCTTATGTTGTCAACGAAACAGAATCCGCGTTGCCTGTTGCATAGTTCATATGGGGCTGCATCCGAATCTGTTGTCTAGAGGCAAGTCTAGGTCTTCGCTCCATCTGAAACACGCGGAGAGGCGCTGATAATGGGCGTATTTAGCCATAGTTCTGGAAGCCCATTTCGGACAAGGTCTGAGTAAAGTGAAAACCTTTGTCCAGTTACAGAGATCTGCTAAGCACGCAAAATGTTTGGTCAGCAAAAAGAGCCTGAGTGTCATGCAAAGTAGATAGGACTATGTATTACTCGAGAACAGTTCCTCACTCATTGACTTTTGCTCAGAGCAGAATGGTTTCTGCTTAGCACCTGTTCAGAAGGCCCTCGCGATATCCCGTTAGAGGGAGAATCCCATGGTAGCCCGATGCGTCCAACTCTTGTACCGAGGGGTGAATAGGTCTTTGTCGGTTGCAATTACACGATCATAACAATACAATAACAATACATGTAGAAACATAGTCGCACCTCTGGTGGTCCGTCACTACCGTGGCCCATGGGTGTCGCGGGGAAGGGGGGATGTACAAGATCAAAAAGGGGGAAGCGATATTTTCTTTAGTGTACCTCGAAATCGACCCCCTTCCATTGTTAATGGTTTATCAATTTTCTAAAAAAAAAAAAAAAAATGGCCTTCCAAGGACGTGAGGCTTTTGCCCGAATCTACTGCTTCGGCTGCTCGCTGTTGTGTACTAGTTGCCCAGACCTTAGGTTTTTCACGGCTGGTTCTCTCCAAAATCGAGTTTGCTTTTGACACGCCCAAGCAGGTTTTATTTGAGGGCTCTGTGAGAAAGACACAAGTATCGTACGAGCCAACAAACTCATGATTAAAGTTACTTCACAAAAGGTAGGCCTAGATAAGAGAAATATATTGAAAGGGGAAAAATTGACAAGTGTTAAGGGTTAGCTTTTTAATTGAGACAGTTGAGAATGATGTTGACCTTTCAGGTGGTCACTTGAATCCGGCCGTTTCACTGGCCTTCTGTACCTTGGGGAAGTTGAGATGGATCGCCTTCCCTGTCTACATGCTTGCCCAGTTTATCGGAGCCTTCCTGGCGGCTGTCATGGTGTTTGCTGTCTATTATGGTAAGTTTGGAAAAGTCAAAGTTTAGGTCATCAAGTGTCTCGGTATTTCTCTCCTGGTAGAAAAAAATTATTACAGAATTGAAAAGATTTCAAAGGGATAAATACCTTGTTGGAAAAATACCATGAATTAGATAAAACCTCGATTCCCCCTTCTTTTTAACTTTTAAGGCAATCTGTTCAAACGTTAATAGAATAAAAAAGTTCAAAATAACAATGGGGATGTCAATTGATAATAGGCCCGTTATTGAAATAAAATGCAGTCAAATCATACCTGTGCATACCTTCTTAAAGGAACAAATGTTTCCTCTCTGAGCAAACATTAAGCCTATGCAGAAAGGATAGAACAGTGCACTGGAGACTTGATCGGTGTTTCGGTTAATATCAGTGTTTGTTTTCTGAAGTTTACGTATTACAGGCATTCTTGCTGTTCCAATGGATTTGCGACTGTTGCGCATTGCGTTCCCTTATTAATATTCTGACAGATTTTGGCTTTTCTCAGTAAACAGCCATCTGTATCCGCCTTGAGCAGAAGCACCCCCTCGTCGGTTGAAACGAGCCATGTTGGTATGGGGTGTTCATTGTTTTTGTTGGTAGCGACGCGACCGCAACTCATGCATTTTATAGTTCTTTGTGAACCAGCGAAGTGCAGTGCCCACCAAAGTGAACCTGTGTTGCTCACGGAGCGTATAAAAAAACTGGACTCACAGTGCTTTCTACTGAATTAAGTCAACGGCGGTCTTTTTTTTTTACCGTGCCGAATACAATTGCGGTGGTTGCTTGCTTGCCGTTGTAACTGTTAATGAAACGAACGAATTCAATCAACAAGGGTGACAAAGCTTCTGTATTACCTTTGGGTAATTCGCCGCGCATTAGGCGCGGCAAGATGCCGCCAGTGGCTTCAATGTGGCTTCAAGGGTGTAGTCCACTAATTCAGGCCCCATTGAAAGCAGTGTAAAATCAGCATTGTTCGGGGCCAAATAATTGCGTACCAACATCCCTGAGGCATCTGATACACACGTTAAATTATTGTATGGTCCATAATATTTATTTTCTTTTCAATTTTCTGTGGTTAACCGATTACATTTTGAGTTATTCCCTCAAAACAAAATTACCCCCCCCCAAAAAAGTGATTTTTCCAAAGTCTGCTTGCAACCATTTTCCAAGTGACAACCCTCAACTTTCTCGGGTACTTAGGCCTTTTTTTCAACAGTATTTTTTAGCCATTCTGCTCTCTGATGAAAGCCCAAAGACCCAGGGAGTTCATCCCGGCAACGATTTACACAATCTCACCACTTTGGGGGCCAAACAATCTCCTTTTTCAACAGATACTGTGGGGGGGGGGCACTTTTAATGCTAATGAGCTGGCCAGAAGTTCTCGCTTGAATTAGCGGACTGCACCCTTCAAGAACTGTGGGCCAAGATATTTTTATAAAGGTGACGTCCGTGCTGTTGCTTGGAAAATTGCGCCCTCTCTTGGTCCTTCATACGAAAAGTCATTAACAGTAAAGATAGCTGTTGCTCTGATTCGATAGACAGCGGACAAGGAAATATACAATTTATTGCTGTCATTCAAGAAGTCCAAGCTTCACGTAGGCCCCCTTTGCTATGTTGAAAATTCTTCCCAACCGCTGGTCTTATTTATTTTTAACCTAGCGAGTGAGGTAATTTCTCACCAGTAATTTGTCCCTCTATTCTAGTTAGCTAAACTATGTTCTGTTTAATGCATGATGGTGCCTCAGCATCCCACAAAGGTCGAGTACAATACAGTGTATACACGCAACACCCCCTCCTGTCGGAGATTATGTAGGTAAGACTTTATTCAGCATGCACGTAAGTATAACCCTCTTTCATCGGCTTGTTGTTTTGTTGATTTCGTTTTTGCATTCGGTAGATGCCATCGACAAGCATGACCACAACAGGACGGTGGTAGGAGGTACGGCGGGCATATTCGCCACCTACCCCAAAGCAGAGCTGTCCTGGGGAGTTGGATTCGTGGACCAGGTCGTTAACTTCCCAGTTTGTTTTACTCAGAATGGTCTTTCCACCGTTGTCGTTTAAAAGCACTGAGTTTGACGGCCACGATACCTGAAATACAGGTAGCAGAAATTAATTAAGTTGTGAGTCTTGAGCTGATTGGAGAGTGTTCTTCATGAGATACTTTGAGCCTATTTACCCACCTGCAATGCATATGTGAGGGCGTTACCTATCATTGGTGCTGTAATTGAAGCCAATAGCTGCCACTATTACTTCCCGGAGAAGCTCGTGTTCAAAGTTGTTAGCCAAAGCCAAGACTTTCGGACGAAACTTAAGGCTACACACTTGAGGCTGCACTGCTCGGTGGCATTGCGCCCTCTCCCGTTAACGAATAATTACACAGCCACCACTTTGAGGCACTGAAACGGCAATAAGTGATATCTTGTAAAACAGCCACATATTCTGAAATTTCACCCCTCGGAGTTTCTGACATTCGACGAGGTTCGATGTGATGTTTTTCCTCGGCAAATGAATGAAGCATATAAACTTAACCTTTGGCCCTTGCCCGCTGCAGCTCTTGGGCACGGCCCTCTTGATGGCGGGCATCATGGCGGTGACGGACAACAAGAACTCCAAGCCCCCCAACGGTCTGGAGCCCATCTTCGTGGCCCTGACGTTCTTCGCCGTGGGCATCAGCTTCGGCTACAACTTCGGATACGGCATCAACCCAGCGAGAGACTTCGGCCCTCGGGTCTTTACTGCTATAGCTGGCTACGGATCTGACGTTTGGACGTGAGTTGCTCGGCGTCCGTTGGTTCACAGTCAGGAAAGGGTCAAACAGGTCCAGACCAACGGGTAGCTTTAACTCCAAAGAAATAAGCAATCGTTTCATTAGTTTCCCTGACAACGCCTTGTGATTTTTATTTTGACTTGAAAATGAACGTTGCGAATGAGGAAATCGGCAGATAAGATCATGTCAATTATTCAATCGACATCATATTGCTAAGTCTTATAGGTCAGTTTTTCACCTGCATGTAACATCACCTTTTTGACAATATTATCACCCTCAGTCTGCTGATCATGACTTTACATAGGTGGGATAAATTTAACCAAATCGAAAAGAAGATGAACGCATAAAACATGACGCAAATATACTGTATATAACACGATATCGTTCCAGATTTCAGCAGTTTGAACTTCACAACGCATTCAGTACACGCAGCCGGCAAATTCAATTTGACTGAGTGAAAGTAGTCAGATTTCAATGTGCATGTGCACAAGTGAAGTACCTAACAGTATTTAGTCTGAATAAAAAGAACATATATTACAACGTGTAGTCGATATCACTAGGTCACATAGTGCGCCCTGCGTATACCAGGCAAGGTATGGGACGGAGGGGTACCCCCCTTACCTGTCCAGTCCCTATACACACTGTAGACTATTGTTACCGAACACATCCCCTTAGAAGTCTGTAAAGAATTCCTGAGATTCCGATCAGACAATGACCAACACAAAGGCAGGGGGGTTCTCTCCGTCCCATATCTTGCTTCAAATGGCCCTGCGCATGACGCTGAGCGGTATACTCCTGCCATTGACATTGCAACTGTGTTATATCCACGTACCGATTGTGCCTGTAAAACCTCCTTGCTCCAGCCACTTGAACATTCTTCTTCAATCTTGAACAGGCTGAACGGGATTCAGTGGTGGATCATCCCCACATTCGTGCCTTTCCTGGGGGCACCGGTTGGCGCCTGGGTCTACTACCTGGCGATCGGCATGCACTGCGAGTCGCCCCACCGAGGTCAGGGGGATCACGCGGAGCTGCTGGAAGCGCAGGCGCCGGACGCCGCTGAGAAGTAACTGTCATGGGAACTGCTCAGCTTACCCGTTGCATGGATCAACGATGAGACTAATTGGTCGATTTCTTTTAATGCTGCATGGTTTGCAACTCTGGTTATGACCCGTGTGTTTCAGCATGATTAACCACGGATGAAGTAAAGGGGGCTATGGGGTTTAAAGAACCATCACTTCCCGGTCGGCTTGGACGACCTCTTCCCCAAAAGTACTTTTGCTTTGTTTTGCTTTTGCTTGCATTTTACTCATCCACTGAGCACCAAGTGCGTCATGCCACATCACTCCCGGTCTCGTGTCACTCAAGGGCCCTACCGTTGGACACGAACAGGCGTGGTTCTAGAGCCATTTTTAACTTCTGCCACTTATTTTTAATTTTAGAACCGCGCCTGGACACGAGTCCGGTTGGACTTGCCTCGATTCCCTGTTAATCCCGCTGACCTCTGCACAAACTGACTGGGTGCCAACGATCTTATGCTACCTTTACCATCTTTTTCCCCTATGAGGCATGTGCAGAATCATTTTTGTTTTTTTATTTTTTAAACAAACGTTTTGCGTGGTGGCGAAAACAGAATTGCGTAGTTACCAATTTTTTTTATTAAATCACGAGCACATGTAGCATTGCGTACAAGGGTGGACTCAGAACCAAGTTTTTTTTGGGGGGGGGCAATTTCTTTTTCTTTTTTTTGATGGGGTAATTAGACATTCTGATCAATTATAAGCTTTTTGGTTCTTTCTGAGGGTTAAGGCTATATTGTGGGCTTTTTGCACGCTTTTTGAAAGGAAGGGAAATGAAATAGACCCAAAGATTCGTAAACTTTCGATATCAAATTTGCAGGAAATGTAACAAAGTGTTTTCATTTTGTACGGCAACTAAGGGTCATGGGTAATCTAAAAAAAAATCTAAATTTTCTCCGTATGCTTGAGCATAAATGGAGGTGTAAGGCAAATTTGTTAATATTAAAGTGCTTTTTTTCTTGTTATAGGTTTCCTTCTCATTATGAATGCCCTATCAATGTCAGAATTATAGAATACATGAACATTCATAAATAAATAAAATTCAAAAGAATGAAAAAATAAACTACGTAAAACATGCGTAATATATGAATAATATATGTACAGAATTCTGCATAAAATATGCAAATATACCATAGAATCAAAGCAAACACTGTACATGTACATGATAATCCATGGGGGGTTGTTTGTGTTAATTTCAAGTCAGTTGGGTACTTTTTTCTGGCGATTTTTGCGAAAATTGAAAAATGCATAAATATGTATACCTCACTAATTAATGTGATTAACCTACTAAACAAAATATCGTTTTGCTATCCGTATGGATTATTATTAAGATTAATTTCCCTACAAAAATTCGCGGCAAGGGGGCCTTCCATCTCCGAGATCTTGAGTGTCAAGTTGGCCACTCCCATGAAAACATACTCCTGATAAGCCCCAAATGGTGGAATTGTGACATCAAGGCTGACCAAGGGTTACCATCTCTCCAGCTAATATACAGGTTTGCTGTACTAACAATAAAAAGTTCTTGTGTATCACTTGTAGAAACCTAGTTAATAAAAACAGTTGAAAAAGTTTTGTTTTTGGAAGCAATGCCTAGTGTAGATGTGCCATTGTAGTTCAAGCTTTTTAGTTTAGCATGAATTCGCTGCGTATGAGGATAATCTGGATTTGCTTCGTTTTTCTAACTTCCATGTTTCCTTTCGTAATTTGCATTACAAAGTGTCTCGTTTTTTCGTAGTGATAGTACGTGTTTGTGATGACAGCGAGTTTATGCCTTGTTACTTTCGAACGTTTGTATCATAAAAACGTTATAAAGAACTCGAAGCTACGAGAAAACAAATGAGATTCAGAAATGGGGCTGTTTCCTTGGTTTTTTTTTCTTCATAGATCCATGTAATCCACAGCGCGCATGGCAAGAGAAAGCTTCGAGCTCCGATGGCACGGAAGAATTCCGAGAAAACAAAAACGGACAGACTACGGAGACTACCGATTGAAGATATTGTAGCGCCCTCTCTTGGCACACCAGGAACATCATCTAGTCAGAAGATCAAACCAGGACCTTTTTTGATTAATTAAGTACCACTGTCATTCCCTTTCACTAAAATGTCATTTGAACGTAGCTTGGTAGTCATTACCACCATTGTAGTCGACATCTCTTCCGGGCCGGTTCGTACTTGGCGCAAAAGCGAACACAAGCGTCAATTTGTGACGTCAAATCAAATAGTAGCGCTGCGAATCTGCAAAAGTTTGGCACATCTCAACTCGAGCGAACCTTTGCCGCAAACTTTAGTGACCTCAAATTCTTAGAAGTGCGAACCGGCCCTAAGGCCTTCGCAAGACCCTACAAGACCAGCACAAGTCCTCAAGTTTTAATTCAAGTCATGAGCTATTCAAATGAACTGCAACAAAAGCATTCTGTCGTCACTGTTAATCCGGTTACTATATAGTGAATGTCTAGTGTGACTGGTCTTGTGAGTGGTCTTATGTCTGGTCTTGTGGTGGTCTGGACTACAACACCATTGGTCATTGAAAGATTTAAAGACTCCCTTTCATGCAAAGCAGTTATGTCTCCCGGTTGTTTCAGCTTTATTTGAGTCCTGCAACAGCTGACTAAAATCCAAAAGCACTTCAGTTTGTGACAAAATGTTGGACCGCGAAACGGTCTGTCACCGGCAAACACATCGTTGACGTCGGCATTGTGCAACAACAGTGTGGTGTTGTGTGACATCTACGTCGGTGGGGACAAACAAGCCATCGAACGAAATTGTCATGGATACCGGAGCCGTGTGGATATCGGTTGACAATAACAGGCCGCGGTAATACCGCCTGACGCCTCATCGCCGGCCGCGGGCCGAAGTGACGCGCACTGGTCTCCTGCACAAGCCAGCTTATTAGGATGATTATTTCCGGATTCCATCACAGGAAGCTTAATGAAGGATCGAGTTTAAATGCAGAGCTAACTGTTTACAGCTTCAGAGCGCCTGCCCGGCCGGTCGGGCAGCGCGATTTTTTTTCCTGGGAAGGTTAGGGGTAATCATAATAAAATGGGCGTGTCTTAACTGTTGCGCATGCGTTTTTCGTCTAGGAAGGTTGGGGGGCTATTATCATAAATGGGGTACTCAAACTTTTTAAGTATAAGACACAACCAAATTGATTTTCTGGCTGACTTGCATGGTAGCTCTGTTACAAGAGCATTATAGCTAGAACCAACAAGCCAAGGGTTTGAGTCTACATGTAAGGATTTTTTTCTTGGTGGGGAATTAGTTGCTGTATAAAAGGAAAGTAAAGACCGGCATTCACCTGAGCACTGAAGTTTCTAAGCGTCCACTAAATTGATCGAGTTTGCAGTCAACCACGCCCATATACAGGTATGATAATTACCCCTAACCTTCCTAGGAAAAACAATTCCGCGGCCGGGCCACTGAGTGATTGTGTCGGAATACAAGTATGTGCCTACAGGCTTCACGTTTCCGACAACAGCGTCGCGAGTGGGGGCCGTGGTTTGAAGAAACCATGACCTCCATTGAAGAATGAGATGTTCAGAACTCAGCAGAGGCTAAGTCATCTTTTAGTGCCGCAGCGTCCATGTTCTCTGCGAGTCACCCCTTTGAAATCTTGAGCTGAATGAAAACTGCAGTAGCCGCGGTTCGCTTTCAGTGCCCTCTCCAATAGTGTGTGCACTCCAGATCCCCCCCCGGGCCCTGTAAGTTTAACCTTCGTGATCGGACATCATTCTGGCTGACTCTTGCTTGCGGGATGTCTGGGATGTGCCAATTTTCATAACTATCTCGTGGGTTTGCCTTGAAGGCGTAATTGTTACTGTAGTTGCAAGTAAATGGACAGATGGTTGGGTTGTTTGTTTTAATCCTGTTTGGGCTAGGGAAGTTGAGACCGCATGCACCTCCCTTTTTTCCTGGTCACTTGTATACACTCCAAATGGGCGTGAACGTGTTGTCGTCCCAGTAGAAAAGTAAGTGTTACGCCGCTTTTACGTACAAGCACCCTATTGGTAGGGTGCGTATCCGCATCCGTTTAGCATCCGTTTGAATCCTGTTGTTTCAATTAACACTCTCCGCCTTCCCACGGACACGATCAAGTTTAGCGCGCGTCCTGGTCTGCGTGCGATAGTGGCAGAGGGTGTTCAGTGAAATCTTTCAGGAGTGAAACGAGGGAGGTAATAGGACGCACGGACAGAACAGACCAAACGACGCACATGGAAAGGCCGCCTTATTACGCACACGGACACGGAAGCGTACAAAGTACTCGTGTATGGAAAGGCGCCTTTACGTAAGCTACACCTCAGAAACATCCCGAACGAACATGCATGGTCATTGGAAGACAACCAGGGAAAGGCAACACATTTTGAGAATGGCGTGTCGTGATAGTTGTGATCCTTTTTTCTCAAACCATATTCTTGTCCTGGCTGTGCCCCCCCCAAAAAAATGGTTTAGTGCATGCACCCCGGGACTTTTTCCCTGGCGAGATTCGCCGGAATTCCAGCTACACGAAACGGAAAGTGTTGGATTTCGTCGGTCTTCCGTTCGTGTCGTCCGTCATTATGCGGTCGGGCTCCCCTGACGCTAGCCCCGGGTAATCCACACCACCCGACACGCTGCCCCGTAATATGTCCCCGGAGATCGGGTGAACTTTTTGTTAGATTTCGGTTCCCCGACTTCCCTTAGTTACGGAATGAACAAACAAGCCGGAGTTGCATGCTGATACGGGTGTCCAGATGCCAAGTATGAACGCCTTAAAAGACGGGCGCTCCAATAAAATATACCATATCGCCACTTATGGAGGTTGCGTCAAGGTTTCATGATCGAACAGAGAAACAAATAACTATCACAATTTGCACATTTTCGGCACCAAATTCCACCTATTTTAACAGACGAAAATCAATGTTGTGCCAAAAGAAGTTTGCTCAGTTTTTGCCGTAGTGAGATACTCTGCCATGCTTAAAACATTCCTCCAGGCTTAAAATGCACTAAAAGTAATACCCTGAGAAAGATGTGCTCAAAATCTGCGTGGGCGAGCGGTTTATTTATACGGACGCCACCTAGCTTGAGTTAACGCCGCATTTCGCGGCATACGGTATTAATTTTAATGATTAACAAAAGCGCTCAGGTGAGTACTGCTTCAGTGGTCGAAGGCCCACTTAATTGCTTTCACCTGGAAATTCGTGATACCAAAAGAACGCCTACTGCTGAATTATCTCCATTATGTTCGGTCACGTCGGTCACACTAAGTCTTCGCTGGTGGACACATTTCCACGAAACCATTTACAGTGCGAGAAGCAGAGTTAATTTCCTGACCGCGTCTGCCCACGTGACCTCTCTCATGTGAACGGTATTTGTTCTGATCTAACGGGCATGATAAAGACAATGCATTACCCTCCTTCGCAGACAGGCCGCTTTGGGCTATATGGAGGGGAGTGTATTATGGTGATTGGTTTAGAGACATTGAATCGTACTCTGGCGGAAGAAGTCCATAGTTTCCATGCCAACGATAAGAGACATAGAGAGCATCACCTATCACTCCACAACGACAATGCCCATTACGACTAACGCAAACATGGACGCAGATAGTTGGAAAGGTTCGATCCTGTTCAGGTTTGCTGACTGTCTGCGTCGAATCGCCAGAGTAGGTCCACGTAAACACGCACGCCAGCACGACGAGCGTACTACGATTTCCGTCTCGCTTAGTACGATCAAGCATTTTGCCAATTTTCTCTTTATCACAGGCAATGAATTCATCAACAAAATAGCTGACCATACTCGCAATTCACGTGCGTACCGGTTGTGCTTGAAAAGGTGAAATAACAACCTAAAAAGCCATTTCACGCACACACACAAAATCGGAATTTCGGAGGCCATTTTGTTTAAATATTTGGTGGAATAACGTCACGCATCGCCTCCCGTGACTGTCTGCGCTAAACCATTCTCATCTTGCGGTAAAGGTATAGAAAATCACGCACCAATTGCCTCTGAGGATTCAACTTGGACGAAAAAAATACGTTACGTATTGTCACTGCTCATGCTATGCTAAGACTAACATTACACTGGTGTTACTGCGATACTTAACTTGGGGGGGGGTTGGAAACCGTCAGGCCGGGAATAACTTATTATTGATCTGTTTTTATGAACACATGACTACAACGACTGCTGCTTGAAAGCATAATCAGGCACCAATCTACATGTATTCCTCAATTTAACAAACGTAGGCATATCTGAAATGTAGGGATGTGCGGTTGACGTAGTACCAGGATGCATGGAAGAGCTGGTATAGCTGTCTGGGCGTGCTGCTTGACACCCTGGAAACGAGGTTGGGCTAATTCGGCAACCAGACTTCGGTGCCATTATAATACAGCGCTCACTCGCTCACGTTAAATGCTCATATAGTGAACTTTGGTAACCAGAATTAGAAGTCATTACCGGCCGGTGGTCCAACGCTCAGTGGACAGGTGGTACGCGCGCGTTACATGCCTCTTCGACCAATATGACGTCTAATTTGCCAAAAGGACGCTAGCGTTAAGCTTAAGAACGCAGGTGTGTGTGTGTGGTAACACCGCAGTTACGGGATCTCCTCTGATTAAGGCGCCTTTCGATATGCACGTCAACACTTGCGCTAACCGTTTTGTATCCGTCAAAATCGGAGCGATTTAATGGGTCTATTTTTGTGTCTGTAAAATTGAAACGCACGGACGCATAGTGTACTCAACGCACCAAAAACACCGTACATAATGGAAAGGCGTCTTTAGTCTACATAAGTGTGACGTCACTTGAAGAAGAAAGTGTAGTGCAGAAGATTGGAGTACGCGCACGTGTTGGTTCACGAGCTGTCAATTGGGTGTGGTAACCAGAGTGTGCGCCTGTTTCAATGTTACGAAGGGCGCAAGTAAGTGTATGCATGCATGTGCCATAAGAATCGTGATCAGTTATACCACTGCATTAATTGTGTCTCCACGGAT